AGGGAAATTATGATCCAACGAAAAATTTAAGAAAACCCTACAAGATAAAGTGAAAAATGTATACCATGTGAGGATACTTGTCCTGATCAACAACCCTTGTATTCTCGAGCTTGATATTGAGATACTGATCAACAGAGTGCAGAGTTCCCCTTATGGCCAGATCATTCTTCAGCTCAACAGTCACTTCTCTGCCCACTAAATCCTTAAAATACGAAAAGAACAGCTGCCACAAAACCAAAACCAATTAGAGAATCAGGAGCAGATAGTAACCTAAGTTGAACCGAACATCTTCGGGAAACACATGAAAAGATTGGAGGAAGATTAAGAAATGCAAAGGAAAACAAGAAAAATTCAGAAAAATTACAATTCAACATAAAATAACCAAAGTTGACAGGAAGACCCGAAAGAAGATAATGTTACCATATTTCTCGGTTGTACTTGTGCGCTAGAGAAGGAGAAAGATCAGCTATTCAGCTCTTCTGAAACTGTAGTGACGCACAATTGACCCAACTACACGAGAAGTTCCGGAGAGAGTCCTATTCATTAAACAAATTAAAACTGCTGTTAACTAAAAAGTTAAAAGGTGGAGGCTGATGCATGAATTTACAATTTTTTCCCTTCTTTGAACTAATTGTATCACGTCATTTGTCACTTCCCAGTTTCTTCCTACTTCCTAAGTTCCTCTAAGTTACAAACATACAGCCTTCGTAATGCCCGATCCACAATATGTCAAAGCAACTCTCTTTATATTCAAACAATCTAGGGTATATCAGTGAAGTATTTGGTCTTGAACATTCTTTTAAACCCGCCAAAAATAGGTCACTCAAAAAAAAAAAAGAAATGTGCAGATCATAAATCGCACAACAACATAGACGAAGCACCGAAAATGGAAAAGAAAACCCTATGCATAAACCCTAAGAGAATTCATTGTTAAGCAAACTAACCAAGATTCTAAATTACAGCATATAAATCGAAAGAAAGGATAGACTAGAGGGCGGAAACTAAAAATTCCTCACATTAACGAAAGACGATAGTCGATTATGAGAAGGCCAGAACAGATTAGAAAGGAGAGAAATGATTTTAAGAAAGAAAGAAGAAACATACCTTAGCAGCGAGTGGGAATGCGCAGGCAGATAGGCCACCGGTGCTTGGGCCAGAGACCTCGAAAGAGGCGCTGCTAATCGACTGTAACGAGCCGGAGTTCAGAAAAACCAGCCGATGCCCAGGAAGAGAGATGAAAAGAGAGAGAGAGCGCGAGATATGAACGCTGAACTGGTTTTGGGGGAGTTTAAGGGAGGGGTAATATAGTAATTTAATCGTCAAAGCTTGATAACGCAGAGCTTATTTTGTTTGAATTTTATTTGATTTTTATTTAATTTTTAATTTTTAAATTATTTAACATACAAATATTTAATATAATTAAATACGTAAAACATTGATTAATTTTAAAATTATAATAATTTTTCAATTTTCAGTATATTTAATTTAATTCTGTAGCCCATAATGATATTTAGTTTAATACCAAATCCAACCAAAATTCTAATATATTAAAAAAAAAAATACATGAAGAAGATATATATATATATATTTTTTTTTTATGGTATGTATTCTACAAATACATTCATATTCATACTATGATATATACATACATATATATATTCATATTTTATATTCATGTGCTGTCTGTCATATATATATGTATGTACATACATACAAAATATATAAAACACAATATTTCAAACCAAGAATTTTGGAACAAATAATATATAATTCAAATGGACATTGAGGTGAAAAAAATTTAACACCTCCAGCAAACTCATATTTGTTATTCAACATTAGCTGCTGATGACTTCTACCCAAAAAAAGAAAAAAAAAATACATTTCCTAGAGCTGAAAAGCACATCAAGAGGCACAACTAAAAAGATGAAATACCAAAAGGAATAAAAAAAAAAACAAAACAAAACTAAAACATTACAAAGAAAAACCAATTGTGGAGGGAGGCACAGACAACAATTAACTAAATTTACATCTATCACAAACAAACTGTTCTATATTTTTGTTAAAGATCTTTGGAATACAGAAGGGGAAGTGCAACAGAGAATGGCTCTCACTATAGCCGTTGCTTCACCCGTCTACCATTCGCGTCACTGCCATCGAGAATTGCTTCATTCCCGTATCTGCTTACGACTACAGAGTGCTCGCTAACTCTAGCCACGTAATCTAAGAGCTCAGTCAGGACAGAAGGGCAACTTTCTTTTAAATACTCGAAACCATCTGTTTGCATCACGGCTGGCACAAAACAAGAAGCATTACCATAAAGCCATCAAAGTACATACTCATCCATCATAACATCCTATTTACAAGACCCTCATTATGCATAGATTGCCAATACAGTCAACAGCTTAGCAATTATAGGTTTGAACCCAAACTATCATTTAAAAGAAGCCATTTAATAAAAGAAACAATCATGAGCCAAATCGAACATATAAAATGCAACTTAATCTCATCAATGGAATGCTTTAACAACCCATCCAATTGTACTGACATTTTGCAAGACAAATAAATGGTTACATGCTTTCGACACGTGACCCAATTAATCATCACAATTGACATAAATTTTCATCACAAAAGAACTAAAAATGAACTTACAAGATTTTCAGATACTGAATGACCCCTAAGCTGGCATATTACACCAGATAAAATTCACAGAAATATAAGAATCAGATTGTCAGTTATCCTTATGCATATTCTTAATGTCTACAAACAACTTTTTTCAACATATACAAATCCATGAAAGATTGTTAGAAGGCTAAATATGAAAATGGCACTTGAACTGATACCTCTTAGATTTTCCGGCATCGCAACAAATTTGAGACACACAGTTTTCAGCTGGAAACAGTGATGTTGCTCCGCTAAGGCCAATGTTGTGGCCACAGTGTTAATGGCAACATCCTCACAAAGATTGGCCTCACATAGCAATCTGAGCCTATCTAGACCATATCTATCTGCCGCCGCAAGAAGATGCTGAGACATCAAAGTAGAAGCCCACTTTGAATTCAAACCAGTGAGCTCTTGCAGATCAGGAAGAGAATCCCAGTACAAAAAATGAAGCAAAGCCTGTAAGTCCCAAAAAGTATGGCCAAAAAAATATGTAAGTAATATTTGTATTGTGTGAAGTTACTGTTCTTATAAAGTGCAATCCACTCAACAAATAAGCATGGAAATTGAAGGACACCTTAAAAAAATTATACTTCAACAAAACATATATATAAGGGCTACATCTGGGAAAATGCTACTAGCACCAACATTCAAGACAATCTCTCAAGTAGCTAGAAGCTACAATCAGTTGGTCATGTACCTTAAAAGTGCAGATCTTTTCCTATGACCATGCGAAGGTCCAAAATTCCCCAGGCAAGGGGGCAGGAATTTCATCTTACCAGCACAACTGTCAGACGCAAATTCACCGTATTCACCTCATGCTTTTCAGAGTGCAACAATCACTAAGAATTCTTCAAGTATGCACTTCATGGAGTTAATTTAGATTTTAAGTTTTCTTTAACTTAAAATAATTTTCTTCAGATTTAAATAAACATTTAGAATATTGTTAGACCAAAGTCACGGTTTTAAACCTAAATTGGAAAATACAAGCATTGCCCAATATTATCAGCCCCAAGAAAAAAGAGATTATGAAC